ACCAAGATTTTTTACTTTATTATCTGAAATCAGTTTAATCCCATCCAAATGAAGTGACTGACTAATCAGCTTCTTTTTCAAAGACTCTGGTCCAAAGACTATAACTTCTGTTTTGTCTGCATACAGAAGGAGAAAGTTAAGAGTCATCCAGGTTTTTATGTCTTCAGACATGCCTGTAATCTGTGTAATGGGTTAGCTTCATCTGGATTTATAGACAGATATAGCTGGGTATCATCAGCATAACAATGGAAATTAATCCCATACTGTCTAATAACTCTACAGATTGGGAGCATATATAAAGTAAAGAGAATAGGGCTTGGTCCTCATGACGTAAGTACTTTGCGTCGCCGCCATCTTGAGTGCCTCTTTTACCGCTGCTCAGACTACTGCCTATGACTACCGCATAATGTACTCCCTCTCAGCCGTGTTTTAATTTGATTGATTTCACCTTAACTTGGTTTCCAACATGGTAAACCGTTGCTGTATATTGGGCTGTAACAGAGCAACAGATAATCGCCATGGGAAAAACATAGAAAATGGGTTAACTTTCCACCGCTTTCCTGCCTGGAGGCGCAACCATGGAGACCAAGTGTTGTCGATAAATAGTCGTCGGCTAGCTTGGATCGCGCGGTAAGACGACCAACATAACTTTCCACAGTATCCCGATGTCAATGAGAGTGTGTTCCCTGAATTTTCATTCTGGTAAGTTAAAGATGCATGGTTTTATTTTATAGCCTACATTGTTTCTTTCCTTCAAAGTTGGGATCTTTTACGGGAAAATAATAAAAACGGCAACGGGAAAAGGCTCAAATATGTGATAAGAACCTGGAGGGTTTGGGGAGGGTTGGCAGTTAACGTTACTAACTACACCTTTGAAACACATAGCAGCTAGTTAAAAGTACATTACATGCGTGAGGGGTTGTTAGCACTAGCGGTTAGCAGTTACTAAACTAGCAGGTTTCAGAGCCCGTCTGAGCACAGCTTACCTTTGTATGGATTACTCTGTTCCCACTGTTTGCTGGCTTTATGATCTGCAGCTCCTGAACCCTTCCATTCATGAACTGCATATGAGACTCCAAGGACTTGTAGCTTCGGAAATGTTTTGAAGTATAGGCGCTCACTCATCGGTGCTCCACTCATTGTTAGGAACTTCGTATGGATCCACATCATTAATAATGCTGATTTTTTCAACATACTGGTCCCTGGCTTCTCTATTTAACGTGGCCCAGTAAATTCCAGATCCTTTTCGGGATTTTAACATCTTTTTTTTTCTCTCACAACGTTGTGTCGGAGCTGTGCTTTCGGAGTGATGCTACCGGAGCTACGGTATAAGAGCTATGCTATCGGAGCTATGCTATCAGAGCATAACATCAACATGGCCGCCACGTCCTACAATGCAGACCCCGAGCCCTACTAGAACTGATCCCTGTGTAACTCCACAGGTAACCTTTGAGCATGAGGAAGATTTGTCATTAACGTGACAAACTGAAATCGATCAGATAGATAAGATTTAAACCAGTCTAGTGCTGTTCCTTTAATTCTAACAAAATATTCAAGTCTTTCTAAAAGAATATTATGATCAACTGTATCAAATGCAGCACTGAGATCCAACAGGACGAGCACAGATACAAGTCCATTATCTGCGACCATGAGAATATCATTAGTGACTTTCACCATTAGTGACTTTCACACACTTGTTTGGCAACTACTTTCTGAAGAATTTTAGATGAGAAAGGAAGATTGGATATAGGTCTATAATTGACCAAGTCATCTGGGTCAAGAGACGGTTTCTTAAAGCTACAGTGTGTAATAATTACAGGGATATACAGTCAGAAATGTAATATATTATACATAACTATGTTATTTATCATCATCTACGAGCTCAGCCTCTTAACCTTAATATTTGCGTTGCCTTAGAATTCGTTATTTATAATTACATAGGAGCAGGTCTCGCAGACATCTTTGCGCTACGGCAGCGCAGAGCCAACAAACTAGCGATTGCGAGATCGCCCATTATGCTCCAAAGTAACTACGGCAAGTTGAGAGAGATGAACTGAGACGGTTCTGAACAATAGATGGCAGTATTAAAATTATCTATGTAAACAAACTTCATCACTTGAGAAGGTAGGTGATGCGGAAGTCGTGGAAGACATTTTGTCCCGTAACGCTCGCCGTACTGTTGGGGGGGAGAAGCGGTGGGGGGGAGATGTTCATGTTGCTGCGGTCTGCAGTCTGGACGTTAGATGTCGCTAAAAATTACACACTGTAGCTTTAAGCAAAGGTTTAATTACAGCAACCTTACAGTAAAAGCCATTGGTACATATCCCTGTAACAGAGATAGATTGATCACATCTAAAATGGAGGATGAGATCAAAGGGAATACCTCCTTAAATAACCTGGTTGGAACTGGATCTAACATACAAGTTTAAGGCTTAGATGAAGACAATAGTTTTGCTAACTCTGAAAGTTCAACTGGATCAAAGCAGTCTAAACCAGGTTCAGATTCCATGACTACCTCAGATGCTGCCCCACCCTACAGAGACAAACTAATCGCGGATAGAGGAGTGCTAATGATCTTATTTTTAATAAGATCAATCTTATTTATAAAGACTCCTATAAAATCATTACTGCTAAGAGCAGGTGGAATGGACGGTTCAACAGAGCTGTATGGCTCTGGGTGAGTCTGGCAACTGTATTAAAAAGAAATCTAGGATTATACTTATTCTCCTCTATTAATGAGTATAAATATGGTGCTCTTGCTTTACAAAGTGTCCTCTTATACAGCAGTAAACTATTTTTCCAGACTAGGTAGTATTCCCTTAGGCCTGTGGAGCGATATTTTCTCTCCAGTTTCCTAGCATTTGGCTTCAAAGTGCGCAGCTCTGCATTAAACCAAGGAGCCAGCTTTCTATTTTTAATGGTTTTCATTTTCAAAGGAGCTGCGTTGTCTAAGGCAGTACGCAGAGAACTGGCAACCCCATCAACAAAATCATCAACCTGTGAAGGGGAATAAACTAAGCTTTTGCACTCTGCAGTGCTGCAGAGTGTGTGGGACTATAATGTGTGGGACTATTCACACTTTAAACAAAGCCAACAGTGTCTAAGATAGCATTGAAGGCTGTTCTTAAGCTATCGCCTTCAATGTTAGCATGGATGATAAAATCTCCCACTATGAAGACCCTGTAAGTATTTAATACCAAATCAGAAAGGAACTGTGAAAACTCATCTAAAAATTCAGAGTAAGGACCTGGTGGACGATACAAAGTTACAAAAAGAAGAGGTTTTGCTTTGAAATTTGGATGAGGGAAATTAACGGTTAAATGTTCAAAAGAGTTGTAAGTATTAACTGCCTTGGGAGTAATCAGTAAGTCAGACTGAAAGATTGTTCCTACTCCTCTTCCTCGCACAGAAGTATGTGAAAATTTAAAAAGCTTGAAGGAGTTGCCTCATTTGTGCTCACATAATCCTCTTGCTGCAGCCAGGTTTCTGTAAGGCAACATAAGTCAATGTGATTATCACAAATCAAGTCATTAACTAGCAGACTTTTAAAGGAAAGAGATCTTATGTTAAACAGACCACATTTCATTATTTTAACTTTTTCCCCAATTGGTGTTATTTTAATTTTAATTAGATTATCATGATTTACTCCTTTGGGAATATTTGCTAATTTATTAGATTTTGGTCATGAGCAAGACACTGTCTGGATGGAGTAAAAAGTAGTCCCTAATATTTAGGTGAAGCTTCTCCCTCTCTCCTCGCTGCGACGCTTGTTCCCGTCTCCATGTCTGTCCCGCTGGTGTTGACCTCACCACAGTGGCCCCCAGGTAGGAGAACTCGGCGGCGCAGATCTATTTCGGCCTCTTCAGCGCTGTTGTAGGTTTGTTGGTCGCTCTCCTAGTGGATGTGCATTTGGGTGTATGGCGTCTGGAAGCTGTTGCCGTTCTCTTTCAAAACAAGCTTTATGTTGTTGGATTACGTCTGTTGTGTAGTCATGGTCAAAAGAGATAGTTTTATCCCTGAGCTGGATCTTCTTTTTCCAGGCGTGTCCGAGAACGGCATCTTTGACTTTGTATTGAAGAAAGTTAACAACTATTGATCTTGGGGGGGGGCGTCGGGGGTCGTTTTTGGACCAAGTGAGTGATGAGCGCGTTGTATTTGAGCATCAGTCCCTTCTTCAATAAGCTTTTCTCTCTTTATCAATTCCTTCACAAACTGAATCACAGAGGAACCCTACATTACCTCGCATACCCCGTATATTCTGAGATTGTTTCGCCTCCACCTTGATTCCAAATCGTTAACTTTTTCGAGCAACGCTTTTTGCTCTTGTAGTGTGTCTTGGAGTACTTCATTAGCTGCTGCCGACCACCTTTCCAGCTCATCAATACGTTTCTTCGCCTCCTCGAGTTTATTGCTGTGTTCTTGGAGAGTTAATGCCTTAGAAGCTAATTGTTGGTTGATCTGTTGTCTGAATTCTGACAGCTCCTCTTTTTTTTGTTGCTTTTTTTTAAGTGTCTGGCAATGTGGCAATAAGAATAATTTTCTTGGTGTCAAAAAGAGCGCAACAGATTGTACTTTCACAAGAGAAGCAGTACAGCTATCGTCATGGTGTTCTGCTTGTTTTATGCATATAAATTGCTTTATTATAATTATGCAGGGAGTTTTACAGATTATACACTGCAATGTAAGTAGAACAAGAAAGGAAAAACTGGGAAAAAAGGAGAAAATATGAAAGAAAGAGATAAAAAGGAGATAATGATAAAATATTTTCAGTCTGCTTCCTCACCTGCAAAGAGATGTAAAAAGAACAGTACAACCAACGCACATGGTACGAGACATACATACAATAAAGTAATACCTAGATACTATCGCTGAAGTATAAGTAATGTCATTTAATCTGACATGTACTCTGTGTTACCTGAAGATAAGAATATGGGCTCCTCTTTAACTTCTTCTTTTTATACCATGACATGTTTACAAAGTTATGTTTTTTTTCTGTTCAGGCCAGGCTGGCTCACCTAAAGGACCGGATCAACACATGGACATTGACGCTGCCTTCAATTGCTTTAGAACTTCAGAAGGAAAAACATGGAGACACTTGGGAAGAAGTAAGAACAGAAATTCTGACTGGCAAAGCAAAAGAGACAGCGACCGATGGCAAAATGTCAATTCATGTTGATCAGACAGAATTATTTACGAAAGAAACACATGTGATGGAAAAACAGATAGACAAATTAAAAGAGCAGGAAGAATGTTTAAAGGTGCAACTAAAATCAGATATTAAAAAAGTTCAGGATATGAGTGAAGAGATGAAAAGTATCCTCACACAAGTAGATGAAAAACAGTATCAGAAACCACTTAATCCAAATATAGTCAAAGACAGAAGAACTAAAGAAATACAACAAAGGGGTTATTTGGGGGAGGGGACCGATGTGTTCATGAGTAAACTTATTCAGTCTGGCATGGACTATCGGGCAAAAACTGCTAACATTGAACAAAAAACTCAGACGAAGAGGATAGATTTTATGATGCAAGACCTAAAAAAAGAGGCCCAGCCATTTACTGGGGAGAGAAACGTATGTAGTGAGGGAAATTATATTCAAGATACTGATAAAGAAATGCTCCAGCAAGAGATTTATAAAACACAAGCAATTATTAAAATGATAAAACCAGAATTTTGTGAGAAGCATGAAGAATTTCAAACGACTGAAGATCTCCTAAAAACTGAAAGTGGAATCAAAGGGCTACTGCAAGACATCAAACTATTTCAGAAGCTTTTAATTTTAGTTAAGCCTGAACTGAAGCAGAACAAAATGAACCTGAATGAAGATATAAGCATTCCCAAAATTACAATGATAAAAAGGAGAAGACAACTGGATTATAGGCTAGAGAGAGTCTTAAGAGAGAGAGATGAATTAGAAATTCTAAAACTACAAATCCAGAGAAAATCTGAAGGGACTCACCAACAGCTGGAAATTATGCAAAAATGCCAAAATAATATCAGAGAAATAGCTGGTAAGGCAAGGGAGAAGAGCAAAGCAATAAAATCTTATATGGAGGAGGCTTACGTAAACGTGGGAGTACTCAAAGACCAGGAGAAAAAAATTGAAGCTACAAAACACCAATTCGAAAAAATCAACATTTTGATCTCTAAGTATAAGGCTGAGACTGAACATTTAAAGATTAAACTTGGACATGGAAAGGAAACAGATTCTTCATTTAAAAGAGAAAATATAAGCAAAGGGGAATCTGACAAAAGGGAAAGTTTAGAAAGAGACAAACCCTTAAAAAGCAAAAAGGCGACATTTGCGGAGGAAACATTCCATAAGACCTTCATACCACATCAAGAAAAATTGAGAGAAAAAATCAAACTCACAATAAATAGGCCTGGTTATGGAAGCTATGAAAGAGAGGAACAAAATCTAGATTCAAGTGAGCTGAAACAGGAGACATTAAGAATAGTAACTGAGACATTGAAACATGAGGCTGAAGCTGAGGGACAGAATGAAAAACAGTCACAAATGAAAACTGAAGATAAGAGATTTATTTTGAGTGAGACAAATAAACATTACAAACAAGGTAGGAATGGTGGCCATTTGGCCATGGCAGACATACGAGAAATGGAAGTGCTAAATTCAGAGCTGGAAAGTAAAAGAAAAGAAAATAGGGATATTTTAAAACAAATTGTAAGAAAAGAAGAAAAGAATAAAATAATTATAAATGAAATAAGAGAAGCAAATAAATCATTCAAAAGAGAGGTGCACAGGAGAAGAAGGGTAATGGATCAAAAATTGGAAAACATAAGAAGAGAGAAAGATGCACTGGAGATTTTGCGATTGAAATGCAAACAACCTAAAGAGGAGCTGGTCCATGAGAAGAGGAGTACTACAGACCTCACCATTGGTTCTGATCTGGACATAGAGAAAGAAAAGATAGTCAAAGATAAACTGGACCTGGAGTTAATAAGGTACGACCTGCATAAAGAAACTGAAGCATTAGAACAAGATAAACAACATATTAAAGAGCAAAGACAAAACATGGAAAGCAAAATGGTGGAATTACAAAGGAAGATAGAAGAAACCAACAATCTCTTTGATGCAAATAACAGAGAAAAATCCAAAATTAAAGATCTTAACTTTCGCCTCAAAACTCAAGGAAATAAACTGAAGGATCTCATGAATGCCTTGGCTTTACGGGTACAACAACAACAAGGCAAGGGCCAAGAAATGTACACTCAAGCACAAAATCTAGAGCTAATCAAAGAGATGTTAAAGAAAAAAACAGAAGAGCTGAAGAATTTGATGAAAACTGCTAACGAGATGAAAGAAAAGGTTCAAGCTTCCCTTAGCAATATCCAGACTGACAAAGAAATCATGATTTCCATCAAGAAAGACATTGAGAAAGACAGAGCAACACTGTCAACTGAACAGGATTGCTTTGAAAGAGAGTTGAGAGAGTTAAAATCAGGACAAGATCAACCTCTGATTGAAATGAAGTCAACAGCAAACTTTAGACAAATGTGTCAAGAAGTTAAAGAAAAAGTGTGTGAGTACACCAAAGTTAGAATGGGAAAATTACAAAAGGGTCATGAAGATGCACAGCTGCTGGGTTTGTCACTGGAGAAAAAACTATCAACTGTTGGTGAACAGATGACAAAAATATTGCATTATAAAGAAATATTGGAAAAGGAAAAGATCAATCTGACATCCTTCATTTCCTCTATGGGTAATCAAAGAGAAATGATGGAACAACAGTGGAAGCAAATGGTTGACTTGGATAAAAAGGATCTAAAGAAAATGAAGGCAGACTTAGATGAGGACAGACAGAGTCTGGAAAGAGTAACTGACCAAATAGACCAAGATAAAGCTAGCTTAGAATTGATGATGTCTGACATAGAGAAACAACAGAAAATGTTACAAATACAGAATAATAATTTGGAAGAAGAAAGGAAGAGGATAAACATGACAAAGACTGAACTAGCCCAAAAGGAAGAGGACGCTAACAGCTGTTTGGCCGAGATCAACAAAGAGAAAATCAAACTGAAAAATGTGTCTGTTTCAGTCCAAAGACAATATATAAAACTTCAAGATATGATCAACATCACTGCCCTAAAACAGCAAGAAAAACAGCTACAGCAAAGCACTAAAGGTGTGGAAAAACTCTATATTGATTTGGGACTAAAGCTTGTTGGCCTTAATGAACAGAAGGAACATGTAGCTGCTTATAAAGAGATGGTTAAAAGAGAAAGGGACAATCTAAAAACTGTCTTTTATGATACAGTAAAGCAAAGAGGAGAAATGGAAAAGCAATGGAATCAAAGGATTAAATCTGAAAAACAGACAGTAATTAATCTTGAAACAATGCTGGAAAAGCAAAAACAGGATCTGGACATAGAGAAAGAAAAGATAGTCAAAGATAAACTGGACCTGGAGTTAATAAGGTACGACCTGCATAAAGAAACTGAAGCATTAGAACAAGATAAACAACATATTAAAGAGCAAAGACAAAACATGGAAAGCAAAATGGTGGAATTACAAAGGAAGATAGAAGAAACCAACAATCTCTTTGATGCAAATAACAGAGAAAAATCCAAAATTAAAGATCTTAACTTTCGCCTCAAAACTCAAGGAAATAAACTGAAGGATCTCATGAATGCCTTGGCTTTACGGGTACAACAACAACAAGGCAAGGGCCAAGAAATGTACACTCAAGCACAAAATCTAGAGCTAATCAAAGAGATGTTAAAGAAAAAAACAGAAGAGCTGAAGAATTTGATGAAAACTGCTAACGAGATGAAAGAAAAGGTTCAAGCTTCCCTTAGCAATATCCAGACTGACAAAGAAATCATGATTTCCATCAAGAAAGACATTGAGAAAGACAGAGCAACACTGTCAACTGAACAGGATTGCTTTGAAAGAGAGTTGAGAGAGTTCAAAATGAGACAAGATCAACCTCTGATTGAAATGAAGTCAACAGCAAACTTTAGACAAATGTGTCAAGAAGTTAAAGAAAAAGTGTGTGAGTACACCAAAGTTAGAATGGGAAAATTACAAAAGGGTCATGAAGATGCACAGCTGCTGGGTTTGTCACTGGAGAAAAAACTATCAACTGTTGGTGAACAGATGACAAAAATATTGCATTATAAAGAAATATTGGAAAAGGAAAAGATCAATCTGACATCCTTCATTTCCTCTATGGGTAATCAAAGAGAAATTATGGAACAACAGTGGAAGCAAATGGTTGCCTTGGATAAAAAGGATCTAAAGAAAATGAAGGCAGACTTAGATGAGGACAGACAGAGTCTGGAAAGAGTAACTGACCAAATAGACCAAGATAAAGCTAGCTTAGAACTGATGATGTCTGACATAGAGAAACAACAGAAAATGTTACAAATACAGAATAATAATTTGGAAGAAGAAAGGAAGAGGATAAACATGACAAAGACTGAACTAGCCCAAAAGGAAGAGGATGCTAACAGCTGTTTGGCCGAGATCAACAAAGAGAAAATCAAACTGAAAAATGTGTCTGTTTCAGTCCAAAGACAATATATAAAACTTCAAGATATGATCAACATCACTGCCCTAAAACAGCAAGAAAAACAGCTACAGCAAAGCACTAAAGGTGTGGAAAAACTCTATATTGATTTGGGACTAAAGTTTGTTGGCCTTAATGAACAGAAGGAACATGTAGCTGCTTATAAAGAGATGCTTAAAAGAGAAAGGGACAATCTAAAAACTGTATTTTATGATACAGTAAAGAAAAGAGGAGAAATGGAAAAACAATGGAATCAAAGGATTAAATCACAAAAACAGACAGTAATTAATCTTGAAACAATGCTGGAAAAGCAAAAACAGGATCTGGACATAGAGAAAGAAAAGATAGTCAAAGATAAACTGGACCTGGAGTTAATAAGGTACGACCTGCATAAAGAAACTGAAGCATTAGAACAAGATAAACAACATATTAAAGAGCAAAGACAAAACATGGAAAGCAAAATGGTGGAATTACAAAGGAAGATAGAAGAAACCAACAATCTCTTTGATGCAAATAACAGAGAAAAATCCAAAATTAAAGATCTTAACTTTCGCCTCAAAACTCAAGGAAATAAACTGAAGGATCTCATGAATGCCTTGGCTTTACGGGTACAACAACAACAAGGCAAGGGCCAAGAAATGTACACTCAAGCACAAAATCTAGAGCTAATCAAAGAGATGTTAAAGAAAAAAACAGAAGAGCTGAAGAATTTGATGAAAACTGCTAACGAGATGAAAGAAAAGGTTCAAGCTTCCCTTAGCAATATCCAGACTGACAAAGAAATCATGATTTCCATCAAGAAAGACATTGAGAAAGACAGAGCAACACTGTCAACTGAACAGGATTGCTTTGAAAGAGAGTTGAGAGAGTTCAAAATGAGACAAGATCAACCTCTGATTGAAATGAAGTCAACAGCAAACTTTAGACAAATGTGTCAAGAAGTTAAAGAAAAAGTGTGTGAGTACACCAAAGTTAGAATGGGAAAATTACAAAAGGGTCATGAAGATGCACAGCTGCTGGGTTTGTCACTGGAGAAAAAACTATCAACTGTTGGTGAACAGATGACAAAAATATTGCATTATAAAGAAATATTGGAAAAGGAAAAGATCAATCTGACATCCTTCATTTCCTCTATGGGTAATCAAAGAGAAATTATGGAACAACAGTGGAAGCAAATGGTTGCCTTGGATAAAAAGGATCTAAAGAAAATGAAGGCAGACTTAGATGAGGACAGACAGAGTCTGGAAAGAGTAACTGACCAAATAGACCAAGATAAAGCTAGCTTAGAACTGATGATGTCTGACATAGAGAAACAACAGAAAATGTTACAAATACAGAATAATAATTTGGAAGAAGAAAGGAAGAGGATAAACATGACAAAGACTGAACTAGCCCAAAAGGAAGAGGACGCTAACAGCTGTTTGGCCGAGATCAACAAAGAGAAAATCAAACTGAAAAATGTGTCTGTTTCAGTCCAAAGACAATATATAAAACTTCAAGATATGATCAACATCACTGCCCTAAAACAGCAAGAAAAACAGCTACAGCAAAGCACTAAAGGTGTGGAAAAACTCTATATTGATTTGGGACTAAAGCTTGTTGGCCTTAATGAACAGAAGGAACATGTAGCTGCTTATAAAGAGATGGTTAAAAGAGAAAGGGACAATCTAAAAACTGTATTTTATGATACAGTAAAGCAAAGAGGAGAAATGGAAAAACAATGGAATCAAAGGATTAAATCACAAAAACAGACAGTAATTAATCTTGAAACAATGCTGGAAAAGCAAAAACAGGATCTGGACATAGAGAAAGAAAAGATAGTCAAAGATAAACTGGACCTGGAGTTAATAAGGTACGACCTGCATAAAGAAACTGAAGCATTAGAACAAGATAAACAACATATTAAAGAGCAAAGACAAAACATGGAAAGCAAAATGGTGGAATTACAAAGGAAGATAGAAGAAACCAACAATCTCTTTGATGCAAATAACAGAGAAAAATCCAAAATTAAAGATCTTAACTTTCGCCTCAAAACTCAAGGAAATAAACTGAAGGATCTCATGAATGCCTTGGCTTTACGGGTACAACAACAACATGGCAAGGGCCAAGAAATGTACACTCAAGCACAAAATCTAGAGCTAATCAAAGAGATGTTAAAGAAAAAAACAGAAGAGCTGAAGAATTTGATGAAAACTGCTAACGAGATGAAAGAAAAGGTTCAAGCTTCCCTTAGCAATATCCAGACTGACAAAGAAATCATGATTTCCATCAAGAAAGACATTGAGAAAGACAGAGCAACACTGTCAACTGAACAGGATTGCTTTGAAAGAGAGTTGAGAGAGTTCAAAATGAGACAAGATCAACCTCTGATTGAAATGAAGTCAACAGCAAACTTTAGACAAATGTGTCAAGAAGTTAAAGAAAAAGTGTGTGAGTACACCAAAGTTAGAATGGGAAAATTACAAAAGGGTCATGAAGATGCACAGCTGCTGGGTTTGTCACTGGAGAAAAAACTATCAACTGTTGGTGAACAGATGACAAAAATATTGCATTATAAAGAAATATTGGAAAAGGAAAAGATTAATCTGACATCCTTCATTTCCTCTATGGGTAATCAAAGAGAAATGATGGAGCAACAGTGGAAGCAAATGGTTGACTTGGATAAAAAGGATGTAATTAAAATGAAGGCAGAATTAGATGAGGACAGACAGAGTCTGGAGATAGGAGTTGATTTTGCAACACAGACAGAAGAAATTACAAATTTTGAGAAAGGCAGCTCATTGCCTTTCTCAAAAACCATAGGAGATGATTTTGCAACGAAGACAGAAGAAATTAGAAATTTTGAGAAAGGCAGCTCACTGCAAGATGTTTGGAATAACACCAGAATGGAACATAAGGAGATTAATCTGATGAAACACAGGATTCTGAATATTAGACATAACCTTGATAAAAGGTTAAAAGACAGGGTTACATTTTATAAAAGAAATATATCTGTAAAAGCAAAAACACTCATAGACAATTTATCACCAGAAATGGGTACAGAACCTGTAACTCAGAGTCACTGGGAGAGCAAAACCTCCATGACCTCTAAGGAATATTTAGAGCCTCAACAAATGAAGCCACCAATGCAGAGTCATATTGAAGGACTTCAATTTAAAGTAAATATGGATCTTGTCTCACACGGCAAAGATGATCAAACTCCTCACAAGGAAGTCATTCAAGGAGATGTGCATGGAGTACAAGCTTACTCTCAAGCAAATGATAGAGAAAATCAAGCAATTCCAGATAATTCAGGCAGATTCCTTGGTATGATTCAACATTACTGCTGTCGCTGTTGCTGCCATTGTTGCGCATGTCGAAAGCAAGTGTGCCCAAAGAGAAATGGAAATATGTCTATTTAAAGTGTTTGTGTGTGTGTGTGTGTGTGTGTGTGTGTGTATTCTAAGTTATCATTTATGACAGGCCAGTTTTTTCTTCTTTTTTTTTTTTGTTGAAATGCAAAGGTAATTATTTATATCCAAAACTGAAACCGTGGCTGTTAGAAATATTTTATTTATACTCCGTTTGTGTTTCTTGGGTTGTGTTCTAATGAACTATTATGATGTATAATGTGTAATTCATCTTTTATTAACTCTTGCTTAAGATTGTTCCAGACGGGTTGTGAAAGAGGCCTGAACATCCTCTATCACATGCTGGGTTGTAAAAGAGACCTGAACAGCCTCTATTACATGTTTCCTCTAAACATGTGTTCTTGGAACAACTCAATTGTAAAACAACCACATGCTTTGTTTTAACATATGTGCTGAGGTTTAAAGTAAGATAATTTTGTTTCCCTTTCCCTTAGTTAAACCTCAGCTGGTGTAATTAGGGACATCCCCTTTTCTTCAATAAATGACGAGGAGAAAGCTGAAGACTGCAGAGTGGGGTGGAGATTGTAAACTCTGCAGTCTCTTCCTACTCTCCTTGCGAGTAACTAAATTAATTGTCTCTGTGCCTTCTTTCTTTCCCTGTATGTATGTATGATGTTTTAGGTGCTTAGACCTGACAGTGGCATAAAAAATTCATAATGAGATAAGAGATCACCAAGCAAATTTTTAGTATACTGAAAGAACTACCTTTAATTATTGTGTAAATTGGTGGTTGTGTTTTGCTTTTAAAATCTTGATCCTTATAAATACATCATGCTTCAACTGTGGAATATAATGCATTGTTATTGGAAATAACGTCATGTATTCTTTGCTTTAATTTGAAGTCAAGTTTAAGTATTTTATAAGTGACCACTTTTTTACTTCGTGATCTCATATGCAACAATTGAGTTATTGACAGGCTCTGTTTTTAAGTCTCCAACAGGTTCTTGGTGTGTGATTTGGTTTTTATATTAAAATAAAGTTTAAGGTTTAGCATCATATTGTATTCTCGTGTCTTTTATAATGTTCAGATTAAGAGCAGATCTTAGAAAGAATATTTAAGACTTCCACTAGTTAGGTCATAGTATTTTAGTCTCATGAAAATTTATATACAATAACTCAATATTTGTTTATTCCAGATTGCCTTTGCATTATCTTTCCATGGTATCTCATGCATTCATGGATTTCATTCAAGCAAGTGTTAATGTAGACAGCCAATTCTGAATTTTATTGTTATTCGTGCTTGCCAGTTCTGGGAACATTACTAAAATATATCATAACTAGTTAAAGTTACTTCTCTAAATAAAATAATTCAGTTAGTAACTCAATTACCGCTCATAGAAAGTAACTCATTACTAGCCAGTTACCTAATGTTTTAAAATGTCATAGAATTTAGAAAACTTTCTTGTTAATGGAATTTCAAATACTACTAGAAGTTCAACTATAGAATATATGGTGTTTGTTATAAATTCATAAAATTAAAACATTTGTTATAAAGGTGGTACACATCGAAAAACTTAAAAGCTTATCTGTACTATTTTGGTGGGTGTGTTTTGAAAAGTAAATTGCACTATAATTATGATGACGTGATGATCTTGTTTATAAGAAAAGAAAAAAAAAATGATTTAGAATTTTATATTTTTGCACATTCCCATCCTAAAATCGGCTACACAATAGGAAGAAAGCTGAAAAATAATGCATTTTTATCAATTTAAGAAAAATAAAATACATGTTGTAATAGAATTAAAGAGCGGTTACACTATTCCAGAAAAAAATAAAACCTTAGGAATGTATCATCCCAAGATTGTTGTGTGAATAAAACGTAAACTCTGTAAGTAAATCCATCATAGCCCTTAGAGAGTTTTATTCAACAAAAACATCATAATCTCTTAAGACTGCTGCACCAATGCTCTTCCTATGGAAGCAAATCTTGACCATTTCCAGAAATGCTTTTTAATTTTAAGAATGTGGCTGCATCACTTGACTCATAAATAAAATTAGTAATCAATCATCCTAATTAAAATTTTCTTCTTCAAGACTGCTCATCCTTTTACTTAATAAAAATGAAAAAGACATTTGAGATTTATTTTTCAAAACGTACCACAGCAAATACATACAGCAATTCAATTTGAAATGTAAAATTTGAAAGCGAAAAAGCATTTCCACAAATGCTTTTTCATTTTAAGGATGTGGCTGTTGGGATCCTGAGGCTTGCCCACCAGAGGGCGCCGAGGATCCCTTCCTAGGGGTTTGAGAGTTTTTTTTAACAAAAAAAAACAAAAAGCTCTTTTTGTTTTTTTTTGTTAAAAAAACTCTCAAACCCCTAGGAAGGGATCCTCGGCGCCCTCTGGTGGGCAAGCCCCAGGATCCCAACAGTGGCTGCATTATTTCTCTCATAAATGAAATTAGTAATCAATTATCCTATTTGCATCGGTATTTTCTTCTTTACGACTGCACATTTTATGCCATAATCAAAGAGAAAACACAGTGGACATTGCTTTTTCGTTTTCGTGGTCTGCCATTAAAGTACTGTCCATAACTCGAAAAAGAAAAAGCAGAGTGACGTCAGCATCCGCTCTTCCTCAAGTCCTTGCTTACCGGGCTACCCATCTTGATCGGTAGGGCGCGCTGTGCACAACTGCATTCCATGACATTGTAACGGGCCGGTGGGAAACAGGTTGAATTGCTGGGTCTTACTATCGGGACATACTAAACGACCACAATGACAAAAACAGTGCCAGTTTGTCTTTATTATTATGTGCCATAACCTGTGATGCTAAAGACCCGGCAATTCAACCACTACATTTCAATCTGAAAAACTCACACAAAGAGGAAAGACAATTAGGAGAAATTTATTGATACAATTACTTTTTCTTTGGTGCACAGACCTCGACAGGAAACAGTACTTAATTTTGATAGATATGCATGAACAGGAGTTCAGGGTTCAGTCAGGTCTCTTCCTAAGAAGCAGAGAAGACAAAAACTGATTAGGTTCAGGTTCTGGTTTCAGGGGAGTCAGAGAATTAGACTGGTTGACTCAGGCTTTGCTAACCATAACTGGCTTAACCAGGGGCGTTGCTAGGAACAAAGCTTTACTGGGGCACTGGCCCCAGTAAAGCAAATACAGACAAGCACACTGCCCCACCCTGATAAATTCCTACCAAAATTACCAGTTGAGATATTAATGAGTGTAAGAGTATATTTGTTTTAACAAATATACTCTTTGTTAAAACAATGTTATAGCTGCAATGTTGAACATTTTCAACATTGCAGCTATAAAAAATAAGACATTACCAACTTTAAAAATAAAAAGTTTCCTTATACACATTCTGAAGTAATCATTAATTCCTAGGTTACAGAGTTTTAGTTCAGGGGAAAGTTTAACTCATCCTGAACTAAGTTTTCCTTTTATTTTTTTGAGCATTAAAGCGTACCTCCTATTTTTCCTTTTTGCAAAGCGGTCAATCACTAGACTGTGACTCAGCTTAGAAAGTTCTTCCTTTTCAACTGATAAAATAGCAGGATGATGGAGCCTGTCTTGTCCCATTGTGCACCTCAGCCAAGTGTGGAGCCTTCTCAACACACTGAATGACCTTTCACAACTCCAGCTGTAGACTGGGATGGTGAGGGAGATCTGGATGACCTGCGTTAGTGTGGGGAATATGATGTTATCAAGCAAGTTGAAAACACACTGCATATCCTTGATGACAAGGCTTTCTTTTTCAACCATAAAAAGCTTTCAAACCATTTTGAATTAAATTAAAGTTTTTTTTACTCCACATTTGTCCTGGGGATAGGGGGACAACTTCACTTGTCTAGGACCATCATGCTTTCCCCCTAAGTCACTAATGTCCCCTTCTTGTTTGTGGAAGCTGGTTGTTGCTCCCTCATCACCTTCATGGTCCTGTCTCTCCTGTCTCTCTCCTGTCTCTTGCCTTTCAGTCTCGCCTCCTCCTCCCTTTCCTACTCCAGCACCTTCATTCTCATTCTCTACAGCAAACATTAAAAAACTTTATAATTTATAATTATGTAAATATCTATCATATTGCTTATAACGTCCCTAATGTAACTGGTTAGCTTAAATTCATTCTAATTCATCACGTGACCTTACCTCCCTCTCTCTCATCTTGTTTTACTGCTTCCTTGTCTCTGCTTCGTGTGAGGAATTTCCTATTATCCATCTACAAACCAATGCAGTAATTTTCAGCTAGTAGCCTATAAATCATGTGGTTTCACTGGGGAAATAATAAAATTGACAGGTAAGAAACGTTACCAGAACTAAAAGTGCGTCGCGGCCGCACAGTGTCCCATCCAACTCAGTTGAGAGCAGCGTGTTAATTTACCTGCAGTTCATGCAGTGACATGCGCTGACGTGGGGGCGCTATTACATCCTCAATTTGGAGTTAACAACACACTTGCTGCGCATTTGAGTAGAAATATACGTCTCCTCCGATTATCTAAATTGATGCATTAAAAAAATGTATAACTGTTGCAAATATTCATGAGATTTATACTGGGGCACAGCTCATTTATACTGGGGCACGTGCCCCAGTAAATGGGGTCTGGCGACGCCGATGGGCTTAACACTCTGGCGCTGGAGTGTAGTCCTGCCGCTGCTTATATGCTGGTCTCCTGATGAGCAGATGAGGAACAGCTGGTGAAGTCAATTCCAGCTTCAGGAGACCCAGAACGCCCTCTGGAGGAGAAAGGCAGACAGAACCCAGAAACCAATAGAAAAACAAATCCCCCGGAACAGGCTCCGGAACAGGCTCTGTGGTGGCCGCCGACTGCGGCTCAGGCCCAAAGGTGACCGCCGACTGTGGCTCAGGAACAGTCTCAGAGGTAACCGCCGACTGCGGTTCAGGAACAGGAACAGATGAGGCCGCCGACTGCGGCTCCGGGTCAGTCTCAGAGGTAACCGCCGACTGCGGTCCAGGAACAGACTCTGAGAAGACTGCTGACTGAGGCTCGGGTACAGTCTCAGAGGTAACCGCCGACTGCGGTTCAGGAACAGGAACAGAGGAGACCGCCAACCCCGGCTCCGGATCAGGAACAGAGACCACTGACTGTGGCTCCAAATCAGGAACCGAGGAGCCCGCCGATTGCGGCTCCGGGTCAGGAACAGAGGAGCCCGCCGATTGCGGCTCCGGGTCAGGAACAGAGGAGCCCGCCGATTGCGGCTCCGATTCAGGAACAGAGGAGCCCGCCCATGGCGGCACAGGTTCAGCCCCTGAGACGGGTTGAAGCGCCCGCTGAGGGGCTCTTAGAGGCGTATTTCCAAGTTCTGAAGCCTCTTTAAATAGATACTCAGGGGTCTCTGGATGGCACAAAGCAGGCTCAGGGTCTCTGGACGGCACAGAGCTATCTCAGGGGTCTCTAGACGGCACAGAGCTAACTCAGGGGTCTCTAGACGGCACAGAGCTGACTCAGGGGTCT